ATCTTTATTTCTTCACATGGCTTCTTGTTACTGTGTGGTGTTCTTCATTTCACCTTGCAAGACTTCCTTTAGTGTTTTCCATGGGGCAGGTTTAGTGGTAATGAACTTCCTTGGCTTTTCTTTACATGGAAATGTCCTGGCTTCATCATTACTTTTTAAAAAAACTTGACACTTTTTTATTGGGATATAGCTGATTAATAAACAGTGTTGTGATAGTTTCGGGTGAATAGCAAAGGGACTCAGCCATAAACATACATATATCCATTCTACCCCAAACTCCCTTCCCATTCAGGCTGCCACATAACATTGAGCAGAGTTTCATGTGCTGTATAGTGAAGTCCTTATTGTTTATCCATTTTAAATATTGCAGTGTGTACATGTCCATCCTAAACTCCTTAGCTATCCCATCTGCCTATCCTTCCCCCCTGGCAACCATAATTTCATTCTTTAAGCCTATGAGTCTCTTTTTATTTTGTAAGTAAGTTCACTTGTATCATTTCTTTTTAGATTCTACATTTAAGGGATGTCATTTGATATTTCTCCTTCTCTGTCTGGCTTACTTCACTCAGTATGACTCTCTCTAAGTCTGTATGTGTTGCTGCAAATGACATTATTTCATTCTTTTTTTAATGACAGAATAATATTCCATTGTATTTATGCACCACATGTTTATCTGCTCTTCTGTCAATAGACATTTAGGTTGCTTTCGTGTTTTGGCTATTGCAAACTGTGCTGCAATGAACATTGGGTTGCATGTATTCTTTTTGATCTTGTTTTTCTCTGGATATATGCCCAAGAGTGGGATTTCAAGGTCATACGGTAGCTCTGGTTTTAGTTTTTTAAGGAACTTCCCTACTGTTCTCCACAGTGGCTGTACCAGTTTGAATTCCCACCAACAGTGTAGGAGGGTATCCTTCTCTCCATACCCTCTCCAGCATTTGTTGTTTGTGGAATTTTCGATGATAGTCATTCTGGCTTTCACCCTTACTTTTGAAGGACAGTTTTTCAGGGCATAAGATTCTTGGTTGACAGTTTTTTCCTTTGAACACTTTGAACATATCAACCCATTGTCTTCTGGCTTCTAAGTTTTTGATGAGAAGTCTGCAGGTCTTACTGAGGATCCTTTATATGTGATGATTTGCTTCTTTCTTGCTGCTTCTTAGAATCTTTGTCTTTGGCCTTGAAAATTTGATTATAACATGTCTCACTGTGAGTCTTCTTGAGTTCATCCTGCGTGGAATTCTTGAATTTCTTGGATGTTTATATGCATGTCTTTCATCAAATTTGGGACATTTGCAGCCATTTTCCCCCCAATATTCTTTGCTACTTTAGTCTCTTCTAAGATTCCTACAGTATATGTTGGCCTGTCTAATGGTATTCCACAGGGTCCTGAGACTCTGCTCCTTTGTTTTCAGTCTTTTTGTTTTCTGTTCCTCTGACACAATTTCCTTTGTCCTGTCTTCAAGTTTGTTGATTTTTTTCATCTTCCTGTTCAAATCTGCCTTGAAAACTCATGAATTTTTATTTCAGTTATTATACCTTTCAGCTCCAGAATTTTTTTGATTCTTTTTAAGTTTTTTTTTTTTAAATCTCTCTTGAGTTTTCTCTTTTGTTCTTTTTCTTGACTTTATCTAATTTTCCTTTAGTTCTTTGAACATCTTTAAGGTGGATGTTTTAAAGTCTTGTTTGAGTTGACCTGCTATCAGTTCTGTTACAGGGACAGTGTCTTTTGATTTTAGTTTTTTCCATTTGAATGGGCCATACTTTCCTATTTCTTTATATGCTTTGTGATTTTTGTTGTTGAAAACTGGGCATTTGAAACTGATAATATGGCAACTCTAGAAATCAGATTCTTTTCCCTTCCCAGGGCTTGATGTCTGTGTTATTGTTTTTGTGTTTGGGGTCTGTGTTGAGGATCAGCCTGAAGTATAAATTTTAAGATCTCTAGGTCTTTTATGAGCCTTTCCCTGGGTATGTGCAGTAACTTTGGGATTTTCTCTGTATGTGTAGTTGTTTTGAATGTCATAGTCATTAATGTCTATCTTCTAAAAGGGGAAAAAGAAAACAGTGAAGGGGCAGCCCTTGAAATTTCCTTGAAGTCATTTTAGCTGGTGGGAGAAGGGCTTTGAACAGTTGGCTGGTGAGGGTGCAATGGCATTGGCTGCCCACCTTTTTGTACCTGTTATCAGAAGCAGTCAGAGCACAGATCCCTGATATTTGGAGGGTCCTTTTCCCCACCTGGACTCTCACAGGCTAAGTGCAGGCAGCTCTAGGAGCATGTGCTGGTCGCTGGGGAGTGAGGTGGGGCATGGACAGCTATTGTGGAAAGAGCTGAAATTGATAGAAACGAGCCACAGTTTACTGTTGAAACATCCTCTAGAAGTTGCAAGCATGGATATAAACTCCTTTATTTACCTTTTAAAAAATTTTTATTTATTAAATTTTTGTTGTGCTGGATCTCTGTTGCTACCCACAGGCTTTCTCTAGCTGGTGAGCGGGGCCTCCTCTCTAGTTGTGGTTTGTGGGCTTCTCGTCATGGTGGCTTCTCTCGTTGTGGAGCGTGGGCTCTGGGTGCGTGGGGTCAGTAGTTGTGACACATGGGCTTAATTGCTCTGTGGTGTGTGGGATCTTCCTGGACCAGGGATTGAACTGGTGTCCCCTGCATTGCTAGGCAGATTCTTGACCACTGGGCTACCAGGGGAGCCCCCTTTTCTTTCCTTATTTCTTGAACATGATTGTCCACTGTTACATTACTTTGTGTGTTGCTTGTTAAGTCTGATGACAATCTAATTCTCTAATTTGTTTTGATCTTTTAATTATTTTTAAATGAAAGAGATGAATATTTTTAATGATAAAAGGTACAATTCACAAAGATAGACAGCATAAACCATTAGACACCTAACAACAAAGAAACACAGATACATAAAGCAAAAGTCAGAACAGATCTAAGGGAAAAGAAAAACACAATCATAGTGACACATACTAGCATTTCTCTGAGTATTTTATCAAGTGCAAAAAAAAGAATAGGCACGTCTTGAATAATGTCATTAATAATTATAGTAGATTTCTATTCATATTAATAATTTGATCTTTTTATAAGAAGGCCCTGAAGGTGGTTTTTCTTTATCATTAAATTTAATTTTTATACTGTGATATGTCTTGGACTTGATTTGGGCCAGTTTTCCCAGGTGGTTGGTGGGAGTTCTTTCAATGTTTGATTTAGGTCTTTTTTTAATTTCTGGAAAGTTTTTGTTGGTAGTAATTTTAAAAATTAGTTCATTTCTTCCCCAGGAACTTCACGTATATGTGTGTTGTATCTTCTTTTCTATATCAGCACTCAATCTTAGATCCTTTTAACTTCTTTCTTTTAAAATTTCTTTATCTTGTTTGTTTCTTGCATTTCTTCTCCTTACTAAATTTTAATCAATTCTATTATTCCTTGGATACTTTGTACTTAGTTTTTATGTTTGAGATGACTTGATCTTTTCCTGAATTTAATCATACCTGTTTCACCTTTTTGTTGAATGTATTTTTTTTCACATACAATAATGCTTATTAAGAACATTTAGTTCAGTTTAAAGTGGTATGTTACACTTTTGTTCTGATTTGTTTTTGATTTATGAGAAGAATTTTCCTTAGCTGAAATGTGTAGTTTTGCTTTAATGTATAAAGCTGTGCCAGGTCTTAGTTGTGGCACATGCAGTCTTTGAGGGATGTGGGATCTTTAGTTGTGGCTCTAATTTCCTGACCAGGGATTGATCCCGGGCCCCCTTCATTGGGACGGTGGAGTCTTAGCCATTGGACCACCAAGGAAGTCCCTAGATTTGCTTTAAAAAAAAATTCCTACAGTAGCTTTATATGGAATTGGTTTGAATCTTTTTATTTCTTTGCATTTAATTGACAGGTGTCCTAATTCAAAAGCATTCTTCTGTCACTTTAGTGATGTGATGTTTTTTCAATGAAGAAACAGCAGTTGTTACTGCTGACCATGGTGGAGTGGAAAAGGGGTTGTTTTTCTTTTCATTTTTGTGAAATCCTGAACTTTACCCCCTTTTTTTTCTTTTTCTTCACTACCTAGGAATGCTGAAAACTGAGTAAAATCTAGTTTTATATTTTTAAATGTTTAAATGAATAAACATTTCTTTTTAATTTATGGTTTGGATAAGGTTACCATTATTCTCCAGACCCAAAGTCTATATATAGACTTTCTGAAATTATTACTTTAGTGGTGGTGGTTGTTCAGTTGCCTAGTTGTGTCCAATTCTTTGCAACCCTGTCAACTGTGGCACACTGGGTCTTCCTGTCCCTCACCATTCCATCTCCTGAAGTTTGCCCAAGTTCATGTTCATTGTATCAGTGATGTCATCCAGCCATCTTATCTTCTGACACCCTCTTCTCCTTCTGCCCTCAACCTTTCCCAGCATCAGGGACTTTTTCAGTAAGTTGGCTGTTTTCATCAGATGACCAAAATACTGGAGCTTCAGCTTCAGCATCAGTCCTTCCAACGTGTATTCAGGGTTGTACTTGAGTGGTAGCAAGAAGAATTATCTTAATATTAATGAACTAACTAGTTCTATAAAAGTTCAACTCCTTTTTCATCTTATTTATTTTATGTATTTTTTCCCTATCTTTTTTTGTCTATTTTATTTGAGTACTTAGGAACATGCGTTCATGGTTATTGGTTGTTTAAGAATTTACATGCTATGGATTATTCAGTTGAGGTCTCAACTGTAACACAGCTGTAGGGAGATGGTATTTGAGTCTGTCTCCACTGCTTAATTAGTTTATTGTATTTAGCAATGTACATCACCTCTCTGGAGCCACCATGTAAAAATGAGGTTGAGGAGAACATTTCCCTACTAGAATCACTGAATGAGATCAGCATTGTAAAGCTCTTGAAACATTTAAGTGAATGTTTATTGTTTCAAACACTTGACTCTAAAAGAAGCCTTCCTTGTAGGTGAAAGGTGGAGCCTTTGGTAACCTCTTTGTTTTCCTAGGTTGCTGGGGGAGCCAACATAAGCCAGATTTCAGAGGCGCTGAGCTGCTACAGGAATAGGTCGTGTTTCGTGAAGGAAGCCCTCTGCAGGCTCTTCACAGAGACATTTTCAACGGAAGTAACCATGCCTGCTATTTTAAAGGTAACTACAACTCAGAAATGTAGTTTTTATAACTACTTATTACTTGATTCAGTTAAAGTTGTTTAAAATTTGGAAAACTCAGCAGTGGCCACAGGACTGGAAAAGGTCAGTTTTCATTCCAGTCCCTAAGAAAGGCAGTGCCAAAGAATGCTCAAACTACTGCACAGTTGCACTCATCTCACACGCTAGTAAAATAATGCTCAAAATTCTCCAAGCCAGGCTTCAGCAATACGTGAACCGTGAACTTCCAGATGTTCAAGCTGGTTTTAGAAAAGGCAGAGGAACCAGAGATCAAATTGCCAACATCCGCTGGATCATCAAAAAAGCAAGAACGTTCCAGAAAAACATCTATTTCTGCTTTATTGACTATGCCAAAGCCTTTGACTGTGTGGATCACAACAAACTGTGGAAAACTCTTATAGAGGTGAGAATACCAGACCACCTGACCTGCCTCTTGAGAAACCTGTATGCAGGTCAGGAAGCAACAGTTAGAACTGGACATGGAACAACAGATTGGTTCCAAATAGGAAAATGAGTACGTCAAGGCTGTATATTGTCACCCTGCTTATTTAACTTATATGCAGAGTACATCATAAGAAACGCTGGGCTGGATGAAGCACAAGCTGAAATCAACATTGCTGGGAGAAGTATCAATAACCCCAGATATGCAGATAACACCACCCTTATGGCAGAAAAGTGAAGAACTACAGAGCCTCTTGATGAAAATGAAAGAGGAGAGTGAAAAAGTGATTTAAAGCTGGCATAAAGCTCAACATTTAGGAAAGTAAAATCATGGCATTCAGTTCCATCACTTCATAGCAAATAGATAGGGAAACAGTGGCTGATTTTATTTTTCTGGGCTCCAAAATCACTGCAGATAGCAACTGCAGCCATGAAATTAAAAGACGCTTACTCCTTAGATGGAAAGCTATGACCAACTTGGACAGCATATTAAAAAGCAGAGATACTACTTTTCCAACAAAGGTCCATCTAGTCAAGGCTATGGATTTTCCAGTAGTCCTGTCTGGATGTGAGAGTTAGACTATAAAGAAAGCTGAAAAAAAAAAAAAGGGAAGCTGAGTGCTGAAGAATTGATGCTTTTTCAACTGTGGTGTTGGAGAAAACTCTTGAGAGTCCCTTGGACTGCAAGGAGATCCAACCAGCCCATCCTAAAGGAGATGAGTTCTGGGTGTTCACTGGAAGGACTGATGTTGAAGCTGAAACTCCAAAACTTTGGCCACCTGATGTGAAGAGCTGACTCATTGGAAAAGACCCTGATGCTGGGAAAGATTGAGGGCAGGAGGAGAAGGGAACAACAGAGGATGAGATGGTTTGATGGCATCACTGATTCAATGGACATGAATTTGAGTAAACTCCAGGAGTTGGTGATGGACAGGGAAGCCTGGCATGCTGCAGTCCATGGGGTTGCAAAGAGTTGGACATGACTGAGCGACTGAACTGAACTGATTAAACACATTGAATACAGTTACTTAATAGCCTTATTCTATTGTGAGTCACAGTGCCCACACAGAGAAAAAGCAGTGTTAGGCTTAAACTGCCAGATCATATCATGTTTTGGGCATCTTAATCAATCTCAATTGTTTGGATTTTTAAATTTAATCTGAGCACAGGATGATTGCCTAAAACAGGACTTAATCTGGAAACATGAATTCACTTTGTATAAACATTCTCATTTATTCCTTTACTCTTTAAAATCTAAGCAAGTTTTTTTTTCAAAAAATAGCAACTATAATATCTCTATAATAGAACAAAATAGCAGTGATTGAAGGTAATCAATTCTAGCATTTGAAGTATTTTGTGAATAAAGTAAAGTTACCAGTATTGATAGGGTCAAACTTTGCTTTCCTTTACAGAAGGATGAATTTATTTTAAATGTAATTGGAAGAATTAAGTGGTTTGAGAAAGAAAACTGCTGTTATTTACAATTAAGTGTAACTTGAAGTCTTAAAATTGTTTTTGTTATTTGTAATTTCTGCAGTTCCATAAAAATAGGCTATTTTTATGGCTATTTTTAGGCTATTTGTGTACCATGGTGAATTAGATTTACTCATAACTTAAAAACAATACTGTATAAAGGAAAAACTCTGGATCTTTGTTTCCCATCTATAAGGAGGAAATTGCATCAGATATTCTAAAAGTCCTTTTCATATCTCTGTGAGATTTTGTGATTTTTTTTAATTGAAAATCATGTTTGCTTTACTTTCTATGTATTTATATTGCAGATGATGGCAATTACATGAAATCCTAAGAGCAGTTTAGCAATATAGAAAAAAACAATTTCCATAGGAGCAGTGTATACTGGCTCTGAGTTCATGTAGGTGTCAAAGTAAGGGGCTCTGGTCTTTCAGTGGTTCATAAAACTCAGGGCTCATTTGTATATCAGCAGACTGGTCTCCGAGGAGGGGAGGGATCATTATCGCTATTTGATAGACAAAACAGATCATGTTGTCCCTGAATGTTGGAGCAGGTATGGTATACACTTGGTATAACACCTTCATTTTAAATTTATTTCTAGGTCTATACAACATGTCTTCTGTTAACAGTTACCTTTCTAACTGTTTGTTTGTTTTGTGGCCATGCCTCATGGCTTGTGGGATCTCAGTTCTCCAACCAGGAATTAAACCTGGGCCATGGCAGTGAAAACACAGAATCCTCACCACTAGTCCACCAGGCAGCTCCCTAATGTTAGGTTTTATCCCTTTACAAATTCAAATTTCTTCCTCCTCTTTTGGTGGATTCATCCCATTTTTTGTCCACTTTGTGTTTTTATCACATTTCCCTTCCCTACTAATTACCTTTCCATCCCACCCCCACCTCTGTTTCGTACCCAGATCCTATCCAGACCCTGCCTAAATGTGTTCTCTGAATGAAACTTTTGACTTCCATACCAGAAATGATTGTTTGCTGTATGACCACCGTAGGCAGCACTTTATTTATACCTCTTTCTTGGTGCTTTTTTTTTTTTTCCAGTTTCATCTTTTGGCATCTCTTACAATGTTATTTGTTTACATGCCTTATTTCTTTCATAAGGCTTTATGCTAAGGAGTAGGATATAAGTGATTCCTGTTTATATCCCCTATAGTGCTTATCATAATGCCTTGGAGGGACTGAGGCTTGATAAATGATTGTGAAATCACAGATGAGGAAACAGAGGTCCAGGGAAAGGAAGTGAGTTACCTTAAGTCACACAGCAAATTAATGACTGCGTTTGGGTTAGAAGGTATTGCTGGTTTCCTAAAAAATAAATGGTGAGGATGGGAAAAAAATCTGTTACTTTTTGCCCTGATAAGCAAGTATTTTTGATAACACAAAAATAAGACTGTGTAAAGAATGCTAACATTGTCATATGCCACTTAAAACAAATTCATCTTCAGCTTGTGGCTGTAGGAATGAGGAATCATCCATTGGATTTGCCAGTGCAGTTCACAGCCAGCGCTTGTGCCCTCAACTTAACACGCCAGGGCCTGGCCAGGGGGATGCCTGTTCGTCTGTTGTCAGAGGTTACCTGTCTACTTTTCAAGGCTTTGAAAACTTTCCCCCATTACCAGCAGGTAATTTGATTTTAATATTTGACTGTGCTTCTTACTTGAGGACAAATAAATGAAAAATATGTTTTATTTAGTTCTGATTTTTCATCCTGAGAGAGAGAAGGAGGGAGGGGGAAAAATAAATGCATGATTACTGTAGAAAAAATAAAAAATATAGATAAGTAATATGGTTTAAAAATTTTGCATTTATCAGAAAACAGCTATCCAGAAACATTTACTGTTAAAACTTTGGTATATCCTATAGGCTTAGCAACATGTGTGAAAATTAAATTGAATTGAGTCATAGATCTAAATATAAAAGCTAAGTCATAGGTCTAAATATAAAAACCATAAAACTAGAAGAAAACATCAGAGTAGGCAAAGTTTTCTTAGGATACAAAAAGCATATTTCAAAAAGAAAAATAATAAATTAGAATTCATCAAATTAGAAGCTTCTGGTCAAACACACACAGAGACATTAAAAAATGAAAAGATAATCCAGGACTGAGAAACATGTCCACTTTATATATATGACAGAGGACTTTTATCCAGAATTAAAGAACTATTAAATAGGTAACACAAGATAAACAAACCAATTTTTTGAGAAGGCAGAAGGTTTGAACAGACACTCCATGAAAGAAGATAGTGCAGGTGACAAATGAGCACTTGAAAAGATGCTCAGGAAAAAAAGAAAAGAAAAGATGCTCAGTATCTTTGTCTGTCAGGGAAATTCAAATTAAAAGTACATTTGGATACCACTGTACACTTAGATGGGCTTCCCAGGTGGCACTAGTGATAAGGAATCCACCTACCAGTGCAGGAAAGGCAAGAGACACGAGTTCAATCCCTGGGTCGTGAAGATCCCCTGGAGTAGGAAATGGCAACCCACTCCAGTATTCTTGCCTGGAAAATTCCACGGACAGAGAAGCCTGGCAGGCTACAGTTCGTGGGACTTCAAAGAGTCAGACACTACTGAGTACACATCACAGCCTCACAGCACACATAGGTAACACTATACACCTCCTAGATTGGTTGAAATTTAAAAAGTGACAGTATCAGGTGTTGACAAAAGTGTAGAGAAACTGAAATTCTCCTATGTTGATGTTAAGAATGAAAAATGATAAAACCAATCCAACAGTCTGGTAATTTCTTTGAAAGTTAGAGATATACCTTTCATACTACACAGTTATTTCACTTGGAGAAATGAAATTATGTAGCCATATAATGACACACAAATGCTCATAATGTCTTTATTATCCCCCCAAACTGAAAACTTAATGTCACCTGAAAACAGGTGAATAGGTAAACCAATTATGATATATTCATATAAGGAAATACTACTTGGTGATAAAAAGAAGTGAAGTACTGATACATGCCACATGGATGAATCTCAAAAAACATTTTATGCTGAGCAAAATAAGCTAGACATGACCATATGACTTTATGTGAAATCTTAGAACACTAATCTGTAATGACAGTATGATTTTCTGGGGTTGAAATTTGCAAGTTGGGAATGGAGTGGCAAGTGTCACAGTGGAACTTTCGGGGTAATGGAAGTATTTTTTATGTTGATTGTGATAGTGGGTAAATTTATACATAATATATATAAATGTGTCAGATCTGATTGAAATGTATACTTAAAATGGGAATCAATCTATTAAAAATAGAATAACATGATCTTTCCTCACTTAAATCTTATTTTCACTTTCTCTTGAAAAATTGGATGATCCTTCTCAATTCAGTCTGAATTCCTACATGGCCATCATTAGTTGGAGACGATTAACAACTGCCCCCATAAAAGGGCCTGAATTGTCCAGTTTGCCATAATTCCCCCCGCTGCCCTACTTTGCACTCTTCCTTCTTCACTCGTTTATGTTACTGCCTAGTTCCTGTTGGCATTTCAGGTTTGCTACCCCTGCCTCGTACACTATACTGCTGTCATGGCTGTACATGCCACTGGCCTACTCATGGTCTTTCAAAGAGATGTTATAATTTTTTATTCCCACAGCTTTCCTAGAAGTCCTTTTCTCTCTCCTAGTTCAATTCCTACTAGTCATAGGTAGAAAGTAGAAGCTCTGTCACAGAGTTAGTTATGAGATCTGGTTCAGACATAGTCATTCATTAGATGGGCTAGGCTTCCAGGAATTGATTTAGATTGACACACAGGCAGGCAGCTTTCCACATAGACCCTTCTAGGGTTCAGGGGGAAGGGAGACTCCCTCTTTGCCAGAAAAGAGAAAGATTACTCTTTAGGCAAAGGTGAATTTTAGAGTTAATAGTAAGATTGATACCAGAAACTAATATAACGTTGTAAACCAACTATGCTTGAATAAAAAATAAATTTAAAAAACTATTAAAAAAATAGTAAGATTGAATGAAGAACTTGGAAAGGACTAGGTGTACAGCAGGCTTTCAATAAGAAAAGCTTTGAACCTTCCAAATGCTTAGAACCTTTGTTTAGAATGGGTGTACATTTGCTCATAATTATTTTTCTTTATTCCCTTAAAGTTACAGAAGAATTGTCTTCTCTCCTTAACCAATTCCAGGATTCTTGTGGATGTTCCATTCAATAGGCAAGTATAAAATTGGATGATCTGGTTTTGGGGTGTTGACCAGTATTACTCTGAGCTTTGTTGTCTTTTGATTATTAGCCTAGCAGGGGTCTGATTGAGGCTGGGATAAAGCGTTTGGTGAGAATGTTCTGTTCAGAAGTACTGTAGTTATAAATGTTGTCTCCCAAAGTGTGAGTCCATTTCAGGGCAGTGAATGATAAGAACATGGGTGCTAGAGGGTTAAATATCGAATCAGGTTCTAGCTTTTCCATTATTCTTGTGCATAAGTTCCTCATTTGTAAATAGTGACTTTTATTTTTTTTTAATTTCTTTTAATTGGAGGCTAATTACTTTACAATATTGTGGTGGTTTTGCCATACATTCACATGAATTAGCCGTGGGTGTACATGTGTTCCCCATTCTGACCCTCCCTCCAAGTAACTGCTTTATTTATTTATTTTTTTCATTTATTTTTATTAGTTGGAAGCTAATTACTTTACAGTATTGTAGTGGTTTTTGTCATACATTGACATGAATCAGCCATGGATTTACATGTATTCCCCATCCTGATCCCCCCTCCCACCTCCCTCTCCACCCGATCCCTCTGGGTCTTCCCAGT